TTACCAAGTGGAATACGTGTGTTACTTTTGTCATATAATTGTGACATTTCCTCGGATACCAGACCCATGCATATTTCACATGGTGGTAATTGAATTGCGCTTATTGATTCTCTTTGTCAATACGCATCACTAGTCATTCGTGTCTCATTTTCCGGTTTCATTGCGGGAGCTTTGAAGGTTTTCTGGTTATCAATCATTCGCTTGGATATTTGTTCAATTGAGATGATGAGTGCACGCCAGTGCATGAAGGTATTCTATATTTAGCCCTTTGTTGCAACGAACTTTTTAATACTGCCAACAAAAGTTTCACGTTTGTGTTAGCTAAATGAGCAGAAGAGGGCTTCAGGTACGTATTCACAATTGAAATTGCTGTTTTGTTTCGGGAAATAAATAATAATACAACAGTGAAACACATGTAGTCATTCTTCTACAAAGAGTTAAAAATAATAAGAGTTTAAAAATAGAGAATTGTTGTGGACAGTAAAATAGCTACTGTAACCACACTTTTTAGAGAGAAAAACATACGTAGTTTTCAAAGAACAATACTTTATAATTTTAGGACAACGAAAAAATATATTTAGCTTATTTCATTGATATTTTGTAATATGAAATACTCCTTATAATTTAGAATGTATTGATTTCTATACTAAATTTGAATAATAACTAAGTGGTTAAAATAAAATATTTTATTAATGTTAGAAAGAAAAAATCTTTAGCTTTGATAGAGAAATGATTCCCCATTGAATATTGTGAATATTTTTATTCTTATTTTAAAAACATCTTCTTTTATATCGAGTTTTTTTCACAGCGGTAAAGAATTACAATTTTTTAATCTGATTGCTAAGTGTAATATCTTCTTTAGTCCTCATAATCTTTAATACGAACTTCTCATTCTCAAGAAGATTTTGTTTTAAATTTGAATTCAAAAGTGCTTCTTTCTCACTTTTCTATTATGCGTTCAAGAGTTCTGCGTTTCGGTTACGTTAAATCAAACATTTAAAGCATAGAAAGTAAATTTAATTTTTAGGAATGGGGAATTTTTGTGAATTAAAGGGAAACACGCGTCGTTCCATCCATATGCAAATTGCCATTTGAAACATTTCTGTCAACATATTATTTTCCAGCTTAGTTTCCGCTATTCCCGCCACACAATACATGCAGAAGATGAATCACAGTAAGATGTAAAATATTTTTTGTTTGTTTTGGCTGCAAAATAAAACCCATTAGTCCGCTTAAAGGCGGGAGAAGTGTGTAATATACCAACATTTGTTTAAATTAAAAGACGAATCCCCGAAGCGATAGCTCAATGAACATACCGTTGCCTCTTGCATTATTAATTTGAAGACCTAGGGCTCCACTGTCAGCGGTGTGGGATATTTGATACCAGCTTCATAATTTGAAATGTTCCAAATAAGTCACACAGAACAATTACAAATGTTTATTCTGACAAATATAAATACGACAAAGGTGGCCATGTTCTGTTTCAAAATCAAAACAATACACTTTGCAAATGTATATCCAAGAAAGAAAACCGTGTTTGTAACCAACTACCATATCAGAAGTTTATCAAACACCGCAAGCCAAGTGAAGCAAGTGCAAGTCACTGTTCCAATAGAAGAATATCCAAGGCCCTATCCAATTCACTACAATCACACGCACTCTCTCCAAATCACTCTGTATCCGTCTTTGGTGCTCGCAGTCCCTTTTCTACGCCGGGTGACGTCACCCTCAGACTCGCCCTACAACTGCCTATCCCACGAGAAAGAGGAAAGGAACGCCGCCACAGCCAATATCATAACATGTACTACACTTACGGGAACACAGTCATTCCCGCGTCCGGAAACGCAAAATAACCATCAGTCGACCCCTAGACCTCCGACCACCTTCATCGTCCTGTCCCAGCGCGCTGGTTTTTCCCGTGTGTTCTGCGCCCTGCGCTTTGCCTCGTTGTTCCTTTTTATGACAGGCGCGGAGCGGCCGTCTCCGTCACATTAGCGCGCACTGCCTCTCGGCGGGTTGAGGCGAGCGGGCGGAGGGAGGGAGGGAGGGGGGGGGAGGGGCGGGGCCGGCTCCTCATCCGTCTCCTAATTGTGCACTTTGTCTGCTTTCGCGAGCAAAGCCCAACCTCCCCTCCGCCGCCTCCCTTCCGCTTCTCGTGAAATATGGCGGCCAGACAAAGGAGGCCGGCGAGGGCTGGTGGGCAGTGGCCAGAGCGGGAGGGCAGGTGCCGGCCAGCCCTCCCCCTGCGCTGGCCCTGCTGCCGCGTGTTTCGCGGTTTCAGGCTGACGACTGAATGGGCTAGCTGTGCGTGGAATGGGTTATCGTGTGTTAATGATGCAGGCTTTTAGGTCTGACTTGTCTACGTGAATGTTAAATAACAAGTAGTTCTAAGGAACTCAGTGCGCTCTTTCTCCATCTTCCTTCCTTTCACATTCCCTCGATCTCCTTTCCTTCTCTCCCTCCATTTTTTTATTCTCTCTCATTCCCTGTTCCTTTTCTCTCCGTCTCTTACCTTCTCTCGTCTCTTTCTTCTTCTTAACTCTCTCTCTTCCTCTTCCTTTTCCTCTCTCAATCCCTCCCTCTCTCACTATCTCTATCTCCCTCTTCATCTCAAACATGCATTTTTTATTGATATCGCAGTCTGAAATATCTGTACACGCCTTACAATATTTACCTTAAAGCATAATGTGTGTGAAATGTGTTATTCTGCAGCCTCTTTAACAGCAATGTTTGGCGGGTTGCAGAATCAGGGGTCAGTTGAAGACATTGATACATTTTATAGGCATTGAGTTGAGGTTTCTGAAATTCAGTGATGTAGAACGATCATATTTTTCATTTGCATATCAAATATTTGCTCTATTATCTTTTTTACTTATTGAAAAAGCTGAATATCAGCTGTTCCTTTCAGAGCTGAATGTCAGCTATGTTATTTTTGTTTAAGTTTCATTGAAACTTGAAAAATTATATTTATCCCCTAAGATTAAGAATTTTCATGTGCGTGTTACAAAGAGGAAGTTAAGAATTATTTACATACTTATGAAGTCAATGTTTTAAATAGAAAATGATTAAAAATATAAATATGTGAACGTGTCTTCGACTATTATTTCTGGTGTCTCCTCGTAAGTACATATTTTCATTTCTATTACATATGGAAAACTATAAAACTAGGCACCTTACAATCTAGAACGACCGCAAGGAATAAGGCGATTTGGTCGATGTGATCATGTACAATGTAAGTATTACTATCAAAAAGAAAAGATCACACAATGATTGGAAAATATAAAGAAAGGATCGCCTTAAGACAACAAGATTTCAAGAACTCACCGGTTCTTACGTCATTTGCTTTCTGAGAAGAAAAGTGACAGAAATCTTTGACATCCACAAACTGTTTTATTCAGGCACTACACGGATTCTTTCCCCGTAATCTCAATAACCTAGCACACCATCAATATTTAACTGACACGCCGACGCCTGTGACTGCCTCACCGGAAGAGGTGGCTGAGAGCATCAAGAGGTCTTAGGTTCGAGTCCCGAAGGTGGCAGGATTTTCGACATAGCTAGGTCAAATTCAACTGCTGGCTGAGAATAATTCTACCTGCAAGCTGCTCTGATAGGTAGTTTTCTGTGCTTTCACCGATCAGGTGAATGCCGAAGCACCCTAACTAACAGGTCACAGACCACGCGCGATCTTTCCATCCTCTTCCTGGTACTCTCCACAAATCTTTCTTACACACATCCTATCAACACTATCTCACATGTAGGGAAACCGGTCGAGAGCTTAGAGCTTATCCCGGCTGGAGCGGTGTCCCGTTGGTGGGAGATACCTGGTAGGGAAATCTGCGCTAGCTGACTGTTAGGTCGGCACCGGATATTATCACGCAGTGGGGTAAGATCACCGCCACCTCCCTAGAAAATGTGTTCTATACTTACGGTACTACTGATTTTGAAGTTGACGCTCTTGGAGTCACTAAGCAATCACTCAAATCATTTCGCCTCATTCCATCCGTCAGCCATACACCGGTACCATGTCTACAGCGACTACCAGTCTCTACCATTTTCAGTGTCACCACCACTGCCACTATCAGTGCGGTCACTACAACTCTCACGTATCACTGCCCCCTCCATTGTTTTCACCACTTCCATGCTCTTCCCTCACCAATGACCCCTAACCATTTCCCGTCACCATTGCCTTCCCCCATCAATGCTCTCCTCCATAACCCCCGCACCAACATCATTGCTTCCATCACTGCCCACAACCAGTCGCCCACCACTGTTCTCCAACACTGCCCCAACCTCTGTCCCCCACCACTCTCTCCAACCTCTGTCTTCCACAACTGACTAATACTGTCTCCAACCACCACCTACACCACTACTCCTACCACTGTAATTTCCACCAGTATCATCATCCAACACCACTACCACTATCACTTCTACCTCTATTACCATCATAACCGATTCCCCCCTTTAGCGTCTCTTCTGCCGCCCTCGCCCACGCCTGGCGTGTGAGCGAGGGCGAGGGCGCGGTCGCGGCGCGAGCGTCGCCGCTGGCAGGTGTCAGAGGGCTGTCAGCGGCCGCCCTCGCCCGGGAGCGCGGGTGCATTTGGCGCTGCATAAGTGATAAGCCCCGCGCGCCGCCAGCGCATTCTCGCTGTCAGCACACGCCACCTGCGCCGCTCGCTCGGGCACACGCGGTCGACCTTGCACTCGCCTGGCCGCTGCGACGACGTCGTCTTTTAATGAGATTCAGACGGCCTTGGAGTCAGCAGAGTATCATCTACGAGTATACTATTAATTTACGATGCCCAGAGAAATTGAAAGAATTGTAGAAATACCGGCCATGTGAGAGTTCCCGTGGTGTTGGATACACATAAACGCAGGAGAAAAAATCGAAAACAAGAAACAGTTTTGATTTTTTTCTCTCAAGAATGCAAATATTATATTATTTTTTAATCGGCATTTTTCATAACTGTTGCTACGAATATTCATTGTTATCATACGCAATGCGACCGGCCTACGACACAGCTGACGTCAGGGGAAGAAAAAAACTTTTTTTATGAGTGCCATTTCAAACAAAAGGCAGGTTTACATTTTTCACACCCTCAATAGTAGCATTTTTGCTCCTGTAGACCACTAGTCATATATTACATGAAAAATAATTATGTAAAGTGATTATTCTTTAAACCGCTTTAATAGTAGTAGCATCTTCAGCGCTTAACATACTCGACAAAATCTGCTTTTAGATTTAGACTGCTGTAGCTCATTTTGAGAATGGTTTCTCACTTTTCAATGCCTCATCGCCAGTCTTCACTGTTTTTTGTGCGCAAATAGCAACTGTACAATTTTGCATAACTCTGCCTCCTAGGGGGGGTGAGTTAATTGTTGCCTTTTAATATAGTATGAAGAGTCGGAAAACGACTCATGAACGACTCATTTTGGTAGGGTAGAGAAGGAACTACGGTCACTCTCGCGGCTTGTACGTAGCGTAGAAAAGAATCGTCACAATATGAACCATACTCTCCATAAAATTGTGAATGATTAAAATGCCTGTATCATGGCTATCACTAAAATACACTTTAGTATATATTTGTTTTTCTCTTTTTTTTACTCTAACAGCGCTAATCACTTGACGGCAACCAAAAATATCGATTCATCATTATAATATCATGATGGGTTCATTTCTTTTCAAGTAGTACACTTCGTTTCATATTCAGTATCTTCTGAGAAATGCTCTTGTGATTCGTCAAACAGTTTGAGTCTGCTGCATTGTGGCTAGTTTTGCACTACGGATTAACATTATTTTGTGCAAGTTCTAAAGTCAGCGGATGGATGGGGAACTGAAAATTGCATGGTCAGTTTCAGTGAAAGAGGTGACCAAAGGACAGCACTGTGAAAATGTCGTGATATATGTTTCTTCCCAGAAATATTTCCTATGGAATCTCTGGGGGAAAAGGGAGTTACGTAAAATTGGAACACATGTAGAGGATACGCGTAATTGGAGTTTCGTGTAGAGTTAAAAATGAGAGTACTCATTTTAGGAAATTGAGTCGACATGAAGATAGAAATCAATTTCATAGCATGTTGCCTGCGTTTGAGTTGAAAACTTAAAATCGTTTACTTATTTGTTGATTTATTAATTAGTAACTGTAATGTATGGTAATTAAAATGTCTTCAAACAAAAAAGAAACTATAATACTAATGATATTAGCACTAAAGTAATCAGAAATTTCAATGCATTGTCTACAAAAAAAATAGAATTGTTAGCGAGAAAATCAATGCATGCAAAGATAACATTGCTAGGATCTAGACTAGAGTTGCAAATCATTTACAAGACATTATCCAATATAATGCTCTCGTTGAATGAACTGTCTTGTGCGTAATCTCCATTGCATTCAACATTTAGCATCCCCTTGGTGTTTAACGCCCCGCATCGTTATCGCGGCCGCAGACATTACAGCCGGTCGGCGGGGCGGACATGAGGGGCTGGGCAGCCACAGGGCGCGCGCGGGCCGTCCCCGGCGGCCACGAGTGCGCCCAGCGCCCAGCGCCCTCGGCCCAGCGCCCAGCGCCCTGGGCCCGGCAAACGCTGGCCGCTGCACCTGGGCACTCGTTTGCCCCTCCGCCACCTCGCCCCGCTCGCGCTGCGCCATACGCCCCGACCCGCTGCCCGTTCGCTGCACGCCCACACCCCGGGCCGGGCTTCTCCTTCCCACTGCCACGGCCCCGCCCCGGCCCCGCCCCGCCCCCGGCCCTGCTTCGCCCCTCCTCGCCCCGGCTTCCCCCCCGTTTCCCCGCACCGTCCCGCCCCGCCTCTTAGTCGCCCGCTCGCCACTCCGCCCCTCACCCGTCTTGCCAAGCCCGGCTCCTCCCCGGCCAAACACGCTCCTCACTCCACCCATACCCCCACCCGCCGCCCGCCCCGCCCCCCGCCACCCGCGCCCGCTACGCCCTCCCCCTACCCCGCCTTTGTGCGCGCACATTCCGCCCGTCTCTCGCCCACATCCCACCGTTCGGCGCCCTTCCCGCTCCCCTTCCCGCACGCTCCATACCTATCCGTTCGGTGCGTACCTTACCTACTAGTTCAGCCTCTCCAGCCTCTACAGTTCCTGCTCGATTCCCGTCCGTTTCCAATGCTATTCCAGCCCTATTCTCGCCAGCTTCCCGCAACCCCCCACCCCGAATCCCACTCCGTTTTCGCCCGATTCCCGTCCGGCATCCCGTCTGTTTCCCGCCCGACATCCCGCTGGATTCCCTGCCGATTCCCGCCTCTGATTCGCGCCAAATTTCGCCTCCACCCTGCCACCCACCCACAACTCGTTTTCCTGTCCGTGCGGTATCTCACCATCCGATCCGGCAGTGCTCTGTTCCCGGCCGCCTGACGCACAGTTCCAGCGCAATGACCTCTCCAGTTCCCTCCGCGCCATAACCTCGCCCATGTTCCGCTAGCTGGCGCCTTCTCAAACCCGTCGTCGTCTCCACTCGTGCCCCTACCCGTGTTCCCACCCCCACACTTCCAATCACGCCCGCACTCGCGCCCGCACGCATTAGAGGTGAGAGGTCAGTTGCGCAGCGGCGGGGCGGTCCATCACGCGCGTGTGATTGACCCGTTAATCAGGTGGGCCCCGGAGACCGCCCCCGCCCGCGATACCCAGCTGCGGGCTACTGCGCACGGGCGGCCGCAGCCACGCCCCCCGCGGGAACCGAACCCACGCCGCGCCTCTCCCGAGGACCCGATTGCGCCACGCACGGATTCGGCGTTGGACGCGCGAGCAAGATAACGCGCTTGGGTCAGTTACACGAGCACTGAGGTATATTTCCAAATGCGCAGTATGGAAGAATTCATCTCTCAAAATATCTGAGGACAGTTTTCATAGGTATGTTTATTTTTACATAGCTAAAAAACTGTTTTTCTTAAACATATTTGTGTATTGTAAACAAGTGTTGTTAATGTGTAATCTAAAATTATTAAATTGCAACATAAATGTATTAAATAGTATAAAATAATTAATTAATTTTTCATCTTATTTCAATATTTCTCAGTTCATTGAAGTCTACGAAAGACTGTAAATTCAAAGTAAACATACACAAAGAGATTTGAGATGTTTACTAAGTTGAAAAATCACATAATCAATGTTTTATTAATGGTAAAAAGCGCGTAAATGTTAATAAAAGAACATAAAGTTACCCCTTCCAAAACACGTTTCTTAGGTAATATCGAAAAATACCCAGCAGTCAAGATCTTTTTTTTTTCATTTCACTTTAACGTTCGCATTCAAAATACACTGCCGTAACAAATAATACTAGCTTCACCTACATATACCTTAATGTATTTGCCTACTCACATTTTCTCCCACATTAACCCTCAGCCTGTGATCGCATCACCAATTCACCACCCTTTAATACGTTTCCTTTAATGGCTCCAACTGTCAAATCCTTCCCGTCGAAAAAAGTTCACAAGTACCCGCAAACCGCCAACTCGAGACATCCCACACCCTCCGTGAGGAATAACTAATGCGCGTTTGGGCCGTCACCAAACACACGACGACCTCCCCCTTTTTCTTACTTTTCCGTTTTTCGTGTTTGTTTTTTTTTTCTTTTCGTGCGTCTCGCGGCGGTGGACCTCTAACCCAGAGACTCCGCAGATTTATTTGGCGCCGCAGAGTGGTTTTTTAACCGAATTACTCCCGGCTCGAGCTCGTTTATCACGCACACGGGGCGTCGCCACGCCCTGGTTCGAACCTCGCCTAGCAAAAAGCCGACGACGCGTCGGGTAAGGGGGGAAGGGGAGAGTGAGGTAGCGGGGGAGGTTGCGCACGCGATTATTTCATTAGCGAAAAAAACAAGTCGCGAGGTGCAGAAGACCGTGAACCCTACTGGCTTTGTTGTTTCTGCTTCGGAGCTGAGGGGGAGCAGCTGTGAAATGCGAACTCTGCGTGAAATGAACGGTTGTTGTTTTTTTTTTGTAGATTTTTTTTCCGCGCGCGACCCGTTGTTTGGGTACAGCTGTCAAGTTGCGTGTCAAGATTGAGATTGGTGGATTTTACGTTCCAGTTCGGGTGTTTTTTTTTCTCTCGTGAAGTTTTCTCCCCAAAGGTTTTTATTAGTTTTCCTATGCGTTTTCTTATTTTCTTCTATTTTGCGTAACTTTGTGTTGCCATTTCTTCTGCCCTTCTGCCCCTCTTTTGCCCCTCGTACGTGATATATTCTCTCTCGCGCACCGATATAAACACACATACACGCACACACAATCTTGCTTTTTCTCGTGTTCTTGGCTTTATTTTAAAAAAAATGTGTGAAAGAGTCGTGTATAAGATTGATTATTATGTTCGTAGAGTTATATTATTGAATAATTTATTGTAAACCTATGTAATATATGATAGCATTGTTACTCAGTGATGTATTTACTCTAAATATTTTCACTAATTTTATGTATTTGAGTAAAATTCAGACAGTGATGACATAAACGATTGTGGGGTTTCGAACTATCGTTATTAGGCGTGCTCTAGAATGTTATTATATTTGTCTAATTAACTATTGCATACCAGTGTCATTCCTATTTTAGGATAAATGACGCGAGCTGTCAAATGGAAACCCCAAAATAAATTGCAATATAATGAAAGAAAAATATATATTTTATATAATTTTGTATATAAGCTGTATATATGGGTATGCGTACTATATACTTGTATTTATACTACAGACAATTTCTGCATGTTTATGTGTAAATATTTTCAAAAGAAAATGACGTGACCATATGTGTCCCAGCGGAAAGGATCGCAAGCACAGGAAAATTTCAAAATTATATACTTTGTTTCTATCAATATAAATACGTTTATAGAAACAAAATATATTTTATTTTGAACTTTTTCTGTGCTTGTGCTCCTTACTGCTGGGACGCAGAGGGTCATATCTTTTTCTTTTGAAAACTCTAGTTCAACATCCATGTGTTGCTCCGAATATACTACAACAGTTCTGTACATTAAAAGACACGAAAACTAGATTGTAACGTGATTATGGGAATATCTGACTGTAAGAGTGAACGCTGCGGTTGCGAAAACCATGAAGTGATTATGCACTATGCATATTTTTGTTGTTGTTATTGTAAATATCCAATAAGCGTTGAAATATGAAAGGATCAGTTGACATTAAGAAAAGTTGTAATAATAAAAGTCTTAAAAGATGAAATGGCATATAAGGTGTCATTGTCACTTCATTTGTAAAGTCAAATAGGTTTGAGTTTTTCCCCTGTTTCTTGGCAAGAATTCGAGAGGAATGTCCGATTTATTCTCATGTTATATTCCAAAAATGGCCAATTTTCCTTTCACTCCACCGGTAGCAATATTCGCCACCAACCTCATATGAGACGCTACCACGGAGTTATCGCTAAAGGACCACGCTTACACCTCCACCATACGGATCACTGACGCTGGCGTCGAGTCAAAAAAGGCAATTCAGAGAAACAGTATGTCAACGCCATTTTTCATCGCACGCTCAGAATACGCACGTTACCAGAAAAGATAACATGGTACCCGCCTCATTGGTAGCTCGCCGTGTTCTCGGAAAATAAAAAGACAATATGCCTTCGGGTCAAATTGACCCGATGCCGGTAGTTAAGAATTATTAATTAGGTCGCTGGTGATGTAGCTACCTTCTATTATTTAAAAATTATCAAGAAAAGATGTTGTCTGGTATCAACAATGTATTTGGCTGAACTTGGTTTTCGGCCCGGATGCTACAAGCTCTGTGGATGATCGTTTCGCGATCCAAACAATCATCAGCCAAATAAATTGTTGATACCGAACATCTTTTATTTATCATTTTTTTAGTTAAGAGTTAATTTGTATGGAGAGGAACGTGAACTTTTAAAGTGGTGTTCACGCTTTATCTGTTTTTGTAGTAGAATATTTAAACTCATTTTTGTCTACGTCAAGGGTAATTCCCCTCTGTGTCAAGTGATGAATCCTGAAAACTAAAGCCCTGCCCTTTTACAAACATTTTAACTCGCTCATGACAGTTTTTAATATTCACATTGAGAGCATTTGGTGCTAAAACGCGTGCTCATGATAGGAGAGATTATATTTATATTAGTTTGTCATTTGATACTTCTAATCCAACATGTCCGTTTTGGAATGAATTTTGCGCCTATCGCTGGAGATTTCAGATTTTGCTAAAAGCCAATAGCACGCTAATGTAATTATCATATGTATTGACAGATAAATTCTTCGCATTATTAGTTAAATCTCAAATCAAATCAATCAAATTAAATCCGCCTTTTAATCAATGTTTAATGAGGTTTTTTGAGAAAGTGTTATTGATTAATACAAGTATTAATTTTAACGAAATATGCGTAACGCAATTTTTAATAGAGAGAAAATGCTGTTTTAAGATTTATTTGGAACTCGATACAAAGAAATATAAAAAAAAAGATTTCATTTATAAATATTCATTGCATTTTTTTTATTTTCTCTAGGCACCAAGTTCTGGTGAATTGATAACGTTATTATTATTATTATTATTATTATTATTATTATTATTACTATTATTATTATTATTACTATTATTATTATTTTGTTGTTGTTAGTATTATTATTTTAACAACAATAACAACATGAAGAGGAATCAAGGCATGAAAATTTGGAGGCTACTGTATATTTCGACTGTCGGCATGTTGAAAGATTGTCCAGATCTTCCGTATTTTCAACATACGGGAATGGAAATTACCCGCACTTCAAATGTTATTTCGAATTTTACACCGATTTTAATATGTAACGGAAGATCTGGAGAAAGAACTTTAACTTAACTTACACGTAGGAAAATATTAATAAAGAAATACATCGTGCTCACTCATCCGTATGATTTTACAATAACAATGTATTAGCCCTGTCTATTGAGTTCAGGATTTTTTATTGACCGGTAGAAAAAATTCCGACTGATTTCTTTATGAATACCCCCCTCGCTTTTTCTCGGAATAATAATGTGCGGAACATGCACTTAATCTGAGCAAACTCCGTGAGCGCTCTTCTACGAGACTCGAGGAGACTACTCCCGTACGGTACTGTTCGTTGCGAAGTTTCTCATATCTAGTTTCAAGCCGAGGGAAACCCTCGGGATGAGCTGCATTTTCTTTCTTATTTATTACGAAAAGGGACCAAAAAAGAGCCTTGTATGTTCCTAGTGAATTTACGCCGGTGAGCTGCCTGCGAAGCCGTTGCTTCTAACTGGGAAAAGCCTCGCGTAAGAGGAAATCTGAGCGCTTCGTTCGCGTAGCCTCAAGTGCGTACAGGATGTTGCCGCGCGCACACGAAAAACGCAATTTTTTTTTGCTCCACTTCCTGGAAATCATTTTCTTACCCTCTCTCCCTCTCTTTCTTCCTCTTTTACTCCCTAGAGCGCGAGCAGAAAAAAGAGCGGTCCAATGAAATACGTTCTCTATTCGTGACGGCGGCGTTCGGATCTTTATGAGAGAGAGCAATCTTTCCAAGTTTCGGGCCACTTCCTTCTCTTCACTTTTCTTTTATGCGAGCAATTTCTTTGCAGCCACAGATTGTGCGGAGAATATGATTCTTTTTTGTGTTTTTTTTTCGACGTCTCTCGTAGGAATAATGTGAAAGGTTGGGTATTCGTGGTTATGAATTCACGTGTCCAACTAACTTGGGAAACTGGTCACATGAAATTTTTTGTAAGCGACCCTTTGTCATTGCAGATTTTGTCAGAACCATCTTAGAAAATTTTTGAAGAATTTTACTATTTTTAAGAAAATATTCACAAATTTTTTGAATTTATTCAAAATATCTAGACAAAAATAATGTATCTAGATGATTTAGCATACTTTGGTACGTTAATAAATTGAGCAAAAGTGTTACGGTAAGGACAAGTTTTTTCTCTTGTTTCAAATAATACAATATCTTTGCTTACTTTTGTTTACATTTACTTGTGTTCCTACCAGTCGCATTTCGATGTTACGACAGAGATACCCGATACAGCAAGGGCAATGTCAAAGCACTCATTTTAAGAATTATCACTATTATGTTGGTTGTGGTTCTCATCTTTCACGTGTCTTTCGATACTGATAGATATATTAACAATTATTTTGCGTTTATATTGAACAATTTTCCTTATTGCGTTTATACTGAAGATCCTCATGCCTTTGGCCAGTGTGGACCTCGGCAGAAGAAGATGTATAAATTATTTATTATAATAAAAAATGAGTGGCTTTATAAATGAAGCTCACCCATTAAGACATAAACAATTTCTTTTGTTAAATAAGTAAAGAAATAAAGATCATGGAGGGACAAACCTTACAAAATGATTTTTTTTCGCTTACAATAACTCTTAATAATAAAAATAAAAGTTTGTAGACAGGTATCCTGAAAATGTGTATTTTGATATTTGTGATTGATACTGATCCCCAAATTGGATAGTCATAAGAAATTGTAGGCGGAATACGTATTTAATAAACGTGTAACTTAATCAGAGTACTAAGTGAAGAGTTCTTAGTGCGTTTCTCTAGCACAGAATCACTTCATGTGACGAGTAGGGGTGTGAGCAGTGAATTCACTGTTGCGCACGAGCAGCAGGCGAAGCGTGTTGCTACGCCGTCTGCACCTCGCAGATAAGCGGCTTGCTGGTGTAGGGTGCCCGTCTTGCGGCCCTCCTCCCCTCCCCTCCCCTCCCCTCCTCCCCCCTCCCCTCCCTACTCTCCCCTCCCCAACAGCAGATCCAGGGGGCTTTCTCCAAAGCCCCCTTGCTTGGCCACGCCGCCACTCCCTTGCCTTGCTATGCAGCGGTTCCGGGATCTCCCAGGGGGCCGGGGATTTGGCCCCGACGCCGCTGGGACACGGGGTTGCGGCTAGCGTCAACACTGTTCTACTGCGATTTTCTCACAAATCTCGGAATTTCTGACGGCGAATTAAATTTGGAGGTTCTGATATGGTTTTAGGCTTGACAACTGGATTGTTTGTCCAACATGGCGTTTCTTAGACATTGGACGTCAAGACAAATAATTGTTACGTCTGTTATCCACCTTGTAGTAATGAATAAGCCAAAAAAGGTGTTAATTGAAGGTTATTGAAAGAAAGGGAGCTTTATGAGGTGAATTTAGTCCTGAGATGATGTTAGACGTGACAACTGGTTTATATGTTGGACATATCGTTGAATAAGCCTTCTAAACAAATATTCATTACCTCTACTATCAAGCACGTAGAAATGAATGAGCGAACGCAAACTTCCTGACAGGAGGTTTTGTGACGAATTTTCCTGTAATAATCTTCATGTAGTAAGTTAGCATAGAACAGGATGAAAGTTCAAAATTGTTCCCAGACGAAAATCAGTAATAGAGGAGCAATTAATGAAGCATTCTATACTTAAATACTGTTGTTCATTTTGTCTTTTAATCTCGTTGGTAAATGTATTATATTTTACTACGCTATTAAATTAAACATTGGTAGTGTTGTTTTTCGAATTTTCGTGAATAAATTTAATTCGCAATCCTGTTCATACCTGAATATTGACACAATTGTTTCCCAAAACGAGGTTAATAAAGAGCGTGAGACAATGCCAAAGACTTCTATGTACTTCATTTTGCTGGTATTTGGTCATGTTTCTTATGGAAATTCCTGAAAATGCATTAATTTTAACATGAACCAGGTAATCAAATTATTTTGCTTCAAAATTCCTAGAATCCATATCATATGCATAAAGAATTGCTTATTAACTTTTATCACAATATTTCATATGGATCCTTATTTTTTAAACAATAAAAGTAAATATTCACTTATCACAGTTCTTCTCAGTTTTTGTAACATATTTACTAGAAAGAACGTTACTTCAGGTAACACTGCATCATTTCATCTCACCTACAGTATTTTAATTGATCCTACAACACATGATTATGTTCTTAATAATATTGCACAAGCACACTCAGGAGTGTATATTTCGTTATTATTAAATATATTTTTTTGGCTGGTTATTTTTTAACATGTTTGATAATATTCTTAAAACTGAAAATTACATATGTGCAGTATACACATTTCAATAAAAGTTCAACCACCGAGGTGATTTGTCCGTCTAAATACACACACACACACACATCTCGCTGTGGCATCCAAAAGCATTTTCAAACTAGATTAACTTCAAACTCCCCAAAGCAAAAACTGCTCTCTAGGCCTCAACAATCACAAACGTCACCATTTATTTAGTGAAACCGAAACAACATCGCTTCATTTCTTTTCACAACATCTCTACTCTACACCGGCGCGTGCACTGCGAATCGGCAGCGCACCTCGCGTCGCAAAACGCAATTCCGATGCGGCCACGCGGCGCGGAACGCCGGGCGGGGCCAGTAATCCCGCAACAGCGCGGCCGTGTTTCCCGGCCAGCTTTAAATCGCCAGCGGAACGGCGAGTCGCGCGTTCGGAAAAAGGACATTAGAGCGCGTTGTTGTGCGCCGCACGCGTCGCGCTTCGCTGCAAAAGTTTCCGCGCTTTATTCGCGCGCGCCGCGCCCCGTGGCCCGCTGGGCCGGCCGCCGAGCGCCGCCCACTGTGGGCGACAAGCGTTCGGATGCCGGGCGCAATAACGTCTCTTACGCACGGTAAAAATTACCGAGTCTGTCTCTAATAGCAATCTCCGGACTGAACCCACCGGGGCTTTTGAGTAAGTGCACGCGGCTTTCTGAGTGTGTGTGTGTGTGTGTGTGTGTGTGTATATGTGTGTGTGTGTGGACATTTAGCATTTTCATACTGAATTCATTTTTACACCCAGGGTTGTTAGCCCTGGGGGAAGTGACCGGAAATGATAATGATGATGAAGAATGAAATGGATAATCACAAACATACAGAGATGCACACAAACCCAAACGAGGCGGGATTCGAACTCGCAATCCTTTGGCAAAGGCCGTCACGGCACTACTGCGTTTTAGCGATCTTGTCTACCGGGATCGGAATTTTTATTATTATTATTATTATTATTATTATTATTATTATTATTATTATTATTATTATTATTACTATAATTAAGGGGGAAAAGAAAGTCTCGACGTGGGCATTAAGGCTCGTCTTAGACCATATAGAAATCTCGACCAGAACACTTAGCCGGTTTACTGCCGGCCTGTACGACTTGTACAATTTTGAAAGAATGAACGAGTTTAAGAACGTTCTAGCAGAATATTAAAGATAGAACATTAATGTCTCACTGTTTTTATATAAATCATTTGTCATGTCTGCATGACGATGTCTATTGTAAAATTTGTGTAATTTCATCCTAAATATACAGTTACCGAGCCATTGGATAAAGGTGTGATTTCCAGCTTTTAATACTTCTAGTTCTTCCATTTACGTACTTTTAGTACTAGATAGTATGCGATGGAATCAGTTTTCGAGTGTTACTTCGCTGTGCAAAGTACTGGAAGCAGTACTTTGGACTTCTTCAGAATAATACCCTTCTTCAGAGACCTTTTCAGACAGTATTTTCAAAATAGAATAGAACTTTAGACAAAGAAAATAAGAATAAAGTTCATTATTTGTGTTCAAGATCAAATTCTGATTTCAGCACATATTATATAAGACATTTTGAGTATCATATCACGTGTGTGAAGAGGTTGACAAAGCGTTTTATCTACAGCAGGAAGTACCAGAACAGGACAAACTTAGTTATGACCATGGCATCAGAGTAAATGCCAGAAGGTACCAAATTTATACTTTCCGCGACGCTCTAATTGCATTGAATAATTTGCAAAAAGATTGCCCTGATATTCTAAATAAACTGCCAGATGCAGGGAAGATCATTTGTAATGCTGCTCCAAAATCTTTCCAGCAGACGAGACTTGATGACTTCGTTAAACATGCATACATTAAATCATTTATATGTATATTTGTTCACCAATATTCGAAAATATTTACGAGACATTACTCACATCTGCATCAGAAACCCTAAATCATATGAATTCATCTCTCTTACACATATTCACGAAACGTATATTCATAAAATAATGTGTGCAGTTATTTGTATTATTACACTTTGGGCTTCGTTTCTTTATGTCATTTTCTTTGTCTTTCCTGAAATTTCTTAATTGGTTCGAAAAGTAGATTTTAGATGCAATAAATAATATTGCAGCACACTGTTTCTGCAATACTGTATCTTGCCTTGTGATACAACTATTCCATTTCTGAACAATTCTGTTTTTGAATATACAGTTTTTATTGCAAGCCTGAATAAGCCTTGGGGTCATGAGGAAACCTGTAGAAGAAAATATTGGATTCTAGCGATTCCGACTTAAATGGCTTTTACTGTACTAAATTAATATTTTCACTTATCATGTAGATATTTAATTACACACAAAAATTAGATTTATACAAATGAAACAGCTTCAATGGTATGGTCATGTCGAAAGAATGGAAGAAACACGACTTCCATTGAACTATTAAAGTGGATGCCTATTGGTAAAAGAAAAAGAGATGGACAGAAAATAAAGTGGATAAAAGGTACATTGAAGACAATGCAGGAGAAAATTTTAAACACATGATAATGTAAAAATAAAATAATGTGGAAGAAATTAATTAAAATAAATACCAAAGAAAAATATAATGTACGTCAAATGGTTATAGCAAAATGTGCTGTAATACATTGTAAACCTATTGAATAATTAATAAAAATGTAGATATTTCACAAACGTTTGTTTATATATGACGGAAATGATAATTTTTTGTGACAATATTATAACTATTTTGCATAACTATTTTGAGATATGAAATTAAAGTCAGTAGTTTTTCTTCACTAAAATCTTGAATTTGTTATGCAAGTAATAATTACGTTAACATTTTACGAATGGTACCAAAATATATTGACAATGAAGTGTTTTGATTACGTGAATCCTATTCTTGTTTCAGTGTTCCAATAGTGCCTTCAAATTCAGGTACACCCCTTCTTTTTATCGCATTTGGCTTCCTAGGGTCAACTGCCAAATTGTTGGCAATTGGAACAACCTCTTACTCGTGAATGTCAACTAATTTTTGTGTACAGAGTGCTAGTGGGCACGTTTATTTCTGTTACTGAAATTTGAGTGTTAAAATGGCTCCCAACAGTGCACTCGAACGCATAGATTCAGAGAGATTCTATTTCCGTTTATCGCACGCCTCGCTGGGTTCAACTACCAAATTTGCGGCCACATTATCGTCTAACTCGGAAATGACGATGACGTTTTTACATACCGTGAACCGTACAAAACGTTATTGAATTATCGAATAATAAAGTTCATTGGCTGTTAATTATATTATTGAAATAGCACTACTGAAATTACAATGTTCACGTAGTGTGGTTAAACGCGTCACAATAGAAATTTGGCGTCAGTGCATTATTATGTCTGCACTGATTGGTCGCAACAGCTTCTAACTCAGAAATGTGAACTAACCACTGAATCCGCGGAATGCCAAACCGTTTATTTTTGTTACTAAAGCACACGTTCGAAGAGTTTTTTAATATGTGCGTTGCATAATGTACTCATGGATTGTGTTTATAGATGCTTTTCGGGGTTGGGTCGTAAAGGTTACCTGTGTGTCCTGAAGTTTCACTGACCGGGCATGCTGCCAACAACCGCAAAAGTGTGTCAATTTAATGGCAGGTATATTGGATTATAAAGCAGAGTAATCCGGCGGTAGGAAACGATGTGCTGACCACATAATGCACAGCATAAAACACCATTTGGTCTTAACCTCCCTAGAGGCTGATATGAATATAAAATCTGTTTAAAAAAGGTCATGAATTGGAGATAGCAACCCGCACGATAGGATAAGTAAAAAATATTTTTGACACATTGAACACAAGGAAAATCAGTGCCCTATTTCTTACGAGCCATTTTTCTTTGAGAGAGTAGCATAAACAAAGAGTTTTGAGAAGTGAATTGCTGTTGAAATATTTTGCAGAAACGGGACAATACGTACGGTATAGGTATACTGGAAGATACGTGGACTGGTATTCATACGAGAATAAACTTCGTATATACTTACTCGCCTTACTTCGTAAGAAGAGAGAGTATTGTAATAATCTTCGGAATAATACGATTTTTAAACAGAAAAACACTTTTTGACGGGCCCGGTAACGAAAACGGGCATAATTTTTCTTTAATCATCTATTCCTTTTTAATATACTTTGCCTTGCAGAGCTGATTACAAACTGTAGCATTTTTCAACGTTTTAGGGAGCAAACGTCCTTAAAGCATATTGCACTGTACATTAGCTTATGTTATATTTTAAAAATATAAATAAGTTTGATAAGTCGTTTTTTTATTTTATTAAGATATTGGATATTAAATTATTTGAGAATTTAATGTAATGTAGCGTAATACCGTTGCATTTAAATTTGAGAGAGAAAAATTAAACTCACAGAGGTCAGTTTATCTTTGGAATAGAATAAGTTGCTTAGAATCTAACCACTTTCAAAGATTTATTTATTACGTCGTGGAGATATCTTGCTTCCTTAATCACTCTCCATCCACTCGAGATCATGTCATTGGCAGTATCTCTTCAGACAAAGTGTCTCTCGGCCGAATCGAACTATTCGGTGTGAGCCATTCATGCAGTTCTCGGTTTGTGAAGATGGCCTTCCCATAGATTTACGGCACAGGTCAAAAAGTAATGTGCGAATTTCGGCCGGGCGTCAAAACTGTTGCTGATGGCGCTAGAGGCGTCCGCATGTAGATTTGATATATGGCAATTGTATATTTTCATTTCCATTGAAGATCACTATGAACTGTTTCATTTGAACGCCTAATGGTCTATCTGGTACGAGTATCTTTAGCAGTTTTAGAGACCACTTTGGTCTGGAAATGTCTATTCTTATACCTTAAAAAGAATTTTGCATATATTTCCAAATTATTAAACGGATATTGAAATTTACGGCAAGATGATAGCTTTTGGATGACCGTATGGAGTGATTTTAGCTCAGAGCTAGCAGTGCCGGAGGGCAGTGCGGGAGGTCCCATGATTCGAGACCGGATTGTAGCATGATTTTATATATTGATCTGAGAAACCACGTATAGTTTCACCTAACAATATCAGACAAATTCCTAACAAATGGATCATGGACCGCCCACGATCTTCCCTTTGTCTTCTTTATCCTATCCTCACCTCTTTCTTACGCACACTTCTGCATGCACTAGACTACCACACATTTCAAGAGAGCGGTCGGGAACCCAAAGCTTCTTTTCGGTTTGGGTACCTCTCTGGGGATATACCGGCAGGGGGAATCACCCGAAAACAGCAGTGTAGGTCGACGCCGAATCTCACCATCCAGCGGGGAAGGCCAACTATGGCATAAAAACATTCACTGCGATTACGACCGGGAGAGGTGGCTCAGGGCATCAACTGCTGTCACTGCGGTCCCTCTGACCAGGAGGTCGAAGCTTCTTAGCTAGGTCGAATTTAGTCGTTGTCTGGAGGAGAATTCTAGCGGCTGGCTGCTCTGATCGGTAGTTTTCCGTGGTTTCTGCGATCAACACCAGGCGAGTACGGGAACAACATCCTAAAAAGCGGACCACGGACCGCGCGTGATCTCACTTCTTCTTCTTTGTTCTATCCTCTCCTCTTACACACGAGCACTCACACTTTCACTAACATGCAGTACACTACCACACATGTCGGGAGTTAAGTGCTTGTCCGGGCTGGGGCGGTGCCCCGTTGGTGGGAGATACCTAGTTGAAAAAACAGCAAGCCGATAGTAGGTCGGCGCCGGATCTCGCCATACAGCAAGGGAAAGATCACCGCTCCCCCTGAGCAAAAGCATGCACTACTTTTACGGGACTATTGACCCTGATAGTTGACTTGCCCGGAATCACTAAACAATCGATCAATCAAACTACGCTTACGCGACTAATGACCATATCATTTGACGTGCACGGAAGAAATCAGTCATTTTAATATGGAAAAGATACCCACTTCTCCGCAGCTAAGGCTGCCTTTCAGAAATATTCCAATGCCGATCGGGTTGCCATCAGAATTATCTTCCTGTAGAGGATCTCGACTCATTGTCAAAACGACGGAACACGTCCGTAAAGCATTCCCACTTATCACAAAATTGAAAAAGACAGAAAAATGTTTAATTTGGGTATAAATTAGTTCTTTATTAGAACAAAATTCTGATGTACCCAATTTTTTAGTTTCATGCGTTTTTGTTGTGTGAGTATGGCAACTTTACGTTAAGTTAGCGTAGCCACTCTTTAGTGTTGATTATTTTGATGTTGCGCATCGTTTCAAAAGTTTTAAATTTGGGTCTAAATTAGTTCGCTCCAGGCGATGCAGCTAAATTAGGGGAACGCTTCAGGTGATTGTTTTGTCGATATCCGTAAAGTTAGCATAGTTATTATCACAAAATTGAAATTAATTATTTAATTATAACAAAATTCTGGGATACTCGTTTTTTCAATTTTGCGATAAGTTGGTACGCTAACTTTACGGACATCGACAGAACCATCACCCGGAGCGTTCCCCTGCTGGCTCCGCGCCTGTTTTACCCCGCGCGATCTGGCGGGCGGGCCCACCGCGGGCGGCGGGCGCGGCGCGGCGCGAGACGCGCGCGTCGGATAACAGATGGCAGCGCGGGCGCGCGCGAGTCGAGTCGCGTCGAGTCGGCCGCGTGCGCCGCGAGCCCTATCGACCCCCCACGCGAGCGGCCGCGCGCGCGCCGCGGCCGCCAGGCGTGCCTCCGCGTGCCCTTCGCCCTACGCGACGGCCCTTCCCTCCCTCGCCTTGCCTCCGAAGACCCACGTGGGGAATATCTGAGATGCTTACGGTGGAAATATAGCGATGCCTATGACGTGGGGAGAAGGATTGGTCGGTGTTTAACAATAATAACACTAATAATAATAATAATAATAATAATAATAATAATAATAATAATAATAAAAACTTATTGGCAGATCGTTAGACGACTGAGGTATGGAGCAGAGTATTATCATCGCTCTTCAAAAATCAGTCGGTTCTTGCTTATTGGGCATCAGATTCATGGGAAGGCATGTGGGATTCTAAAACCTTTAAATTTAGCTTTTTTTGTAATTTAAGTTGGATAATTTATATTGTATTATATTAATTGAAGAATGTTGGAAAGGTAAAACAAATCAGTTTCTGTGCTTTGATGTTGTATCTGTGTGGTAAATATTTAAAAACAATTATTTGTTTCAAAATGGAATAATATAATAATAATAATAATAATAATAATAACACCGAAAGATTGGCATAATAAATAACGTCATATCACAGTAGTCACGCGCTAATTTGAAATCCGTGCAAAAAAATGAGGCTTTGCAGATTCGTAATTAATGTTGGATTCACATTACTTACAAGGTGTGCGAAAACCTCGAACATTCTTTGGGGTTTAAAGATCCAGATAGAGTAATCAAATGGATGTCTGATCTCAGCGTTCTTTAGTAGAAAGTACCGATTCTGGGCGTGCCCAACCCAGATAATTTCAGAGTACACCATAAAGCGATTGGGAACTGTGAAAATATCGTGTTTTTCAGAGATAGGCGGAAGGACCCGCGTTCATAAGTTGAAGTTGAACTTTAAACAAGATAGATTTACCGTAAACTTTCTAGCTTGAAAATACCAATATTTATGTCGTTGCTTTCTGACGGTATAGTATTATTGGTATCAATGTACATATCTGAGGTGTTGTTTTATGGAAAATGTACGGTATATTCTATGCCGTAGAGTTATTGGAGACAATTCCTGTGTATTATAACATACTAGTCGGCTCATTACTCTCCTATAAACATGTGTACATAATTTTCTCGCGGCAGTTACTCCTTCTGCTTGATCCACAACATTTCACTTTGCGTGCTACGACATCCCTTCCCTTCATCAATATTTTCTGATTATTGTCAGTGCTTCTGCTACCTTGCTTGTGCTAATGACCTGCCCCACTGATTGACCGAAATTCATTAAACAACGTTCGCCCATTTGTTTGTCAGCTTGATGATTGACATGACTGATAATACCCGTAAAATACTCTTGTCGTACTTATATTGTCACGGACCCATATTCCTGTATTCATTCCAATATTTTGTAAACAACCGCAGGACTTCAATGCGATCCCAGTTAATGTTACCCAGGCGTGTTATTGCAAGAACATGCGATTCAGTACATATCTCTGACAGAACATGCAAGCAAATTATTCCGGACAGAGTTACGGTGAACAACTTTTCAATTAAATGACCCAATGGCATTTGGTATTATACGCATATAGCATCTAATCGTATGAGAGAAAGCAATGTTAGGCTGGAAAATCACTCATACATTCGTGCCTTTTATTTTGAATTATACGTTTGACTCTCAGGAGATCAATATTAGCTATTAATGTTTATATATTTCACTGCGCATTTCACATACTTCTTACAACTGAGGATGATAATAAAAGTAGTTGTAATAATATTTATAATTACATTCGTGAATAATTACAGGTATAACAAATAAATATATGGGTCGATGCGAATATTACGCGCTTTGTAAATCATCATTGTTCAGAAATGAAAATAGCTTCATGCACAATACCAATTTCAAATGTTTCTGACAACTCGTTCTAGGAGGATGGAATGCTTCCAAAAAGTAAAAGAATGCCTAAAAATATTTCACCAGGAGGGGTGGCTCAGGACGTAAGCTGATATCGCCGCAGTCCTAGGTCCCATTCCTGACAATGACTGGATTTTCGATCCTAGCTTGTCAGCTAGGTGGAATTCAGTCGCTATCTGAGGGAGAATTCTAGCAGCCGGCTGCTCTGATCGGACGTTTTTCGTCGTTTCTCCATAACACCAGGCGAATGCCGGAGCAGTATCCTACCAAACGGGCCACGGACCGCAAGCTATATTTTCTTCCTGTTCCTCGTTCTATGCTCAGCCTTTACTTACATACAATTACAAGAACATGCACTATACTACCACACATGCCGGAGACTGGTCGGCGGTTTGTCTAGGTTAAGGGCGGTGCCACGTTGGTGGGAGATACCTGGCTGAGGAAAACCCTCTAGCCGACGGTAGGTCGGCGCCATCCAGCGGGCGATGATCACCACCACCTTACGAGGAAAAACACAATAGTTACGGGTCTAATGAACTTAGGCGTTGATGCATCTGGAATCACTAGGGATTTCATCCCAAAGGATTTCAATGAGTAGAATATAACCTGAATAACCTGAGTTGTGTCCCAACGACACAAAAACCCAGTTTTAAGGACCTAAAACGCATCGTTTGCGAGTTATTTGTATTTACCCCTTATATGTCCCGTAAAGCGGTACTGACCTCGGTGCCGTTAGATCCTGGTTTTCTTTGTATTTCACCCAACTACGAGACCCGATTTCGCGGTCTTAAGTAGAACCATCACAGCATTTGTCTGGATGGTTGGGGGAAACCACGAGGATGGGTGGCACGGGAATTGAACCTGGGTCTCCCGAGTACGAAGTCAGCGCGCTACGCCCTGAAGCTCGGTTTCCGAGTTATGCTCGGTAGTAAAGTGTGTGTGTGGGGAGGGGTGAATGTGCGCATGCTTGCTCTCTCCGCCTCGCATAAGATAAGCTGCGATTTAGATTTATTTAGTAAAAAGAAAGTAAAAACTGTATGTGACGTATGGGGGAGAAGATAATCTGGGCATGATTTCTTGAGTTCCAGAATCCTTTCTCATCATTTTAACAATGTTTGTTTACTTACTTGTTAACTTACTTCTATTTGTTTCTTCTTAAATGTGATTGATGCAGAACTGGAAGTAATTTCCTCCCCGGCATTCGTGTCACGGATGCATGGAAGTGTTTAAAGTTGACGCGCGAGCTGCTAAACAGCGCACGGTATTACGTCTCGCCAGGGTGGGAGAAGCAGCTTGGAACACGAGCCCGGGGCGATTCTCTGCACCTAAGCTAGACAGTCTGGTTTTGCGGGTGAGCTCCGTAGTGTTTATAGTTGGTATTGTAATTCTGCATATACCGACAGTTCCTGCTTTTGGTTATTCTATCTGAACTTTGGTGACTTCGGCTATGAACTGGTAATTCTCCTATAGGCAACGACGGTGCTTTGATTGTAATCAATTATTGGGACACGTTGGGGTTATATTTTTTGAAGCATTGTTTTCAGTAGGAGTATGAAACTGGTGTTGTAACAAGAGCACAATAAACATTTGTTAACGATTTATGATGTATTTTTTGAACATAACAATTAGGACATATTGTAGTATTGGGTCGAAAGGTTTCCGCTAAATAGTAGAACACCTTCATTCCTTATCCTTTCCATTATAAAGAGAGTTGACTTGAACATTCATACTCAATTGAATACTACAATTATGACTATGCTTCAATGTGATAACGTCTTTATACAATCCAGTAATATTATTTACCATTTGAGATTTCTCGTGGACTTGAGAAGATTGAAGTCTCACATCTCTTAAGTACAAACAATCAAAATCTCCATATCCGACACTTTTTTTCCAACATTGCCCATATTGACGTCCTGGAAGATTGGCTTTTCCCATCGCGGAAGTCTTCAGCGGATGCGCTAGTTCGGGAAAGTTACGAGGTCGCGTCTGAGCCGCAAACACCGGCATGAATCTGAGCTGATATGATTCGTAAAAAGGGTGCTTAACGCAGCGAATACGAGGGAGACCCCGGAAATGGGAAATCGAGTGGCGCCACCTGGGGATGGGTGAGTGGATTTTACAGAGAACACAAAGAATGGTGATGGAAGGACGAGGTAACAGCGAAGGAGCAGAGCAAAAAATCTTAATGGAAAACGGAACAACTGAGACTGATACATCTCTGTCGAGACGAACTGTAACATATGAAAGAAGACCCGACATCATGTGAGGCGACACGTTTGGAACATAAAAAGCCGATTTTTCCTATATAGGATGGTTTTTCCAAACATTAAATAGGATCAGAAAGTCGGTGATAAACTTCTGAAGTTCAAGTGAAAGGCGAGATATGTTTATTCGTATAATTGTATCATTATCGAAATTATTAAAATATAGGTTATTCTCAGAATCATCCGAATCGAGGCAGGAGACGTAAATGACATAAAAAAATTGTGACGTTGGGCGCAATAAAATGAAGAAATGGTAGAATGTTGGCAGAAACAATAGAAGTAAACTCATTTCGTGCAAAAGTTACAAATTTAATAGTTCAATTTTGACTCTGCAACGAACCAGGGAGTGACAACGTGAGTTTACAGTCGTGCGATTTACAACGTGAGCTAGTCATGTTCTACGTGCTGTGCCAGCGAAGCAGGTGCAGTGACGATTTATGACGAGTTGCGCACGACAACTTTTTTTATTGCAGTCACTGCCTTAACGTTCTCACACCCATGCCCGGACACCCATCACTCAAACTCGCGAACCAATATTCTGAGTCCCCCCCCTCCCCAGTGTTGACAATTTTCGCAGCTAAAGCATGCTAATAAATAGACCACGTGTAGAATTCGCGTATTTATTTAAGTAGAAGACCTAAGTAGTATAAACTCGGTGGTTTCCGCAGAAATATTGTGTCCATTCCATTATAGTAAACTCCATTATTGTATTGTAGAACTGGAGAAAACGACAGTGGAAGATTATTTCTTTTCCTCCCGTTATACTATGCACCTTTAGTAGTAGTTAAGCGAGAGAAGTGAATCAAGTAAAGACTTGTCTGTCTGTTGGTGTAAACTGTCTTGAAAAGTATACGATGGGTGGACGGTAGGAGTTTTTATCTAATTGTGTGTCCGAGAAACACTATTCAAAGCACATACGCCAACATTTCGGCATTATTACTCTAATCTTCTTCAGAAC